CCAAGTGTGACAATCCCGGATGAAGGGGGAAGCCGTGAACGTTCATAGGCATGCGGTAGCATGGCTGCTGCATCCTATAAATACCGCAGCCCCTTGTGCAACAACCACCCGTTTCTGCTTTTTTGTCTCTGATGATGGATTCGAGTAGGAATCCGAAACGTCAGGCTAATAAAGCTCTTGTCCCGGCGATCGTGTCTCCTTCTTCAAGACTACTTCCTGGGACTCGGCTCTTCGCTTCTATTGGCAGTATTTGGCTATTTTAACGCTGTTGGATCGTCGCCGAAGTATGGTTTAGGAAATATAAAACATAATGGCTACTGCGCACCAGGAAATAGTGTTATGATTTAGGATTTTCTGCATCTGAATTTGCGCGTATTCGTAATTAGTGGTTAATTATGGAAGAAAAAAGGTGAGAGCTTAAAGGATTTAATAAAAAAGCAGACGGTTAAATGTGAATTTTTCTAATTAGGGACCGGCTGACTGATGTACAAGTGCAGTACCTAAGACCATCGGTCCGAGATTCCCACACGCCAAATGTCCGCTTTCAGGAAGGGAGGTTATTGCAAAACCAAGGAGACGCTGTGGGTGGAGGATATTATCCGAAATTACAGAGAAGTTGTCTTCGAGGTGGGGACAACATTTAGGCAAATCAGGCACGGATGGTCGAGTACAAATTGACCCGCTATGTGATACCTTCGATGCCCCAAATCCCGAGGTAGAGGTTTATCCAAATTCACCGACTGACTGCTCACGAGGTTTACAAAGCATGCACGATTATGTCTGCGACGGATTTAATTTCACAGGCCACGCTGAAAGACAAGTGTAGCTTCTGAATCGTTCTTCCAGGTAAGAACCATGTAAATCCTCATGCAAGACACACAGACATTGGCTTCTGCTATCGGTGGAAGGCCTGAGCCCTTCAACGCGTCACGGCCTACTGAAGAATAAATCTGCTTTCCAATGGTCCTGCTATCTGAGGATACGTTGGCAGAAACCTCGTCTCTTAATCATGGCTATGCAAGTTGGAAATAAAAGGACTACCTTGAACTGAGCAATAGCATATTATCTTGCGGTGTTCTCATCGGCTTTATCCGCATGTTCTTCCTCGCCGTTTCGACTTGCGTAGCGCATATGTTTACATCGGATTACCTACTACAGGATGCGTATGTGCTTGGGGTCAGAGTGGGAAATGGATGACGTCTGCAAGAAGACGGCTTGAAGGGCTTAAGTTGACGGTGGACGATTACTAACAGAAATGTGTCGATTTTCTAGATAATGAAGAAACAACGTCCATTTAGAAGGTGTT